GCAGGCGCAGGCACCGGCGCAGGCGCGCTGGATTCGGCTCGCTCTGGAGTGCCGGGCCGGTGGGGCGGGTCACGCAGAGCGCGCGGCCGGGAGCGGCGGAGCCTGTGGCGGTGACGGTGGCGGCGGTGGGGCTGCGGAGAAGCGTTGCGCCGCGCAGTGCTGAGCCCGCCGGCCGCCGCGGGGCCATGGAGATCGGCACCGAGATCAGCCGCAAGATCCGGGTGAGGCCCGGGTCGGGCGGGGGCGGGAAGTCGGGCCTCGGCGGGCAGGCGGGCGTGCGGTTGTCAGGAGTAACGGGGACCGTGGGCCCGGCCTGGACGCCGCGGCCTGGTCGCTGCCGGGCGCTCCTGACGGGCCGCGGGGCCGGCCAGTGTCGCCGCCTCGGCCAGGCCGCCTCGGACCTGGGCGCAGACGCGGCCTCAGAGAGCGGGGCCGCGGCCGGAGAAGGAGCCGCCGGGAAACGGAAGGAGGCGTGGGGGGCCCAGCGGGAGCCGCGCGCCGCCGAGCAGTGAACCGCTGTCGCGACGCTGCTGGAGGGGGCGCCGCGGGCATGGGGAGGGGACCGCGGGGACGGCGAGGGGACTGCAGGGACGGGGGAGGGAACCGGGGGACGGCGAGGTGGGAGGGGGCCGCGGCGACGAGGGAAGGGGGCCGGGGGGCGGGGCCGCTGGGCGGGGAGGGGGCCAGATAGGGGAGGGGGTCGGGGCGCCTGCCCGCCGCTCCCCGGGGCGCCCAGGGGCAGGCGGTGCGCGCGCCCGCGAAGTTGCCTCTGTGCTGCAGAGTTGGTTTGTTTTCCAAGGGCCACGTTTCTCACTCGCAACGTTTGTCTTTTTTTCCCACCCCCCTCAGAGTGCCATTAAGGGGAAATTGCAAGAATTAGGAGCTTATGTGGGTAAGTTCTTTTGTTCCTGTTAGCCTAGTAGAATTTAGAGTTTGCAGCTAATTGAATTCTAGTGAATGCATTTTTTTCTGTCGTACTTTTGACTCTTGAGAGGCCCCCTTCTACTTTCAAATCTGATACTCCCTGGTTATTTTTTTTTCCATTGAAAGCTCTGTATGCAACCATTTTTTTTTTAATCAAACCCCCTTCTAATAGAATGCTTTGAAATTGTTTAGCTTCCTTTGCTGAGGCTCTGTCATATTTTCCTTAATGTTTGTCCGATTTGTCTTTACTGTCCTCTTCATTTTTCAGAGTTATTATTTTGGATATTAATGCTTGGTGCTTTCTGGCTTGCCTCTGTCCTGGTTCAGTGAGTTTTATTTTCAGATCTCTCTTACCTCCTGACAGTAATGTGTCCATTTCCTCTTTATTCTTCTATAATTTATAATTTGACTGTTTATTCTTGGCCAGGCACTGTGCTTAACTGTTGTGTATGCATTAGGTCATGATAATCCCCAGGAGAACGCTGGAACGCAATCGGTAAAATCCCCAATTGTATGAGCAAGGAAACTGAGGCTAAGAGTGCTTACTTGAGCAGGGTTTTATGGATTGAGACCCTGGGTCTGTTTGGCTCCAAAGCTGGTGGTGCCTTCTACAAAAATAATAGCTACTACTTGAGATAGTAGTTCTCGAGGGGTGAGAGACCCCAGGGGTCTCTGAAGTCAAAACTGTTTACGTATTAAAACTGACAGGTACTTGCCGTATTCACTGTGCTGACATTTGGATTGTACAAAGGTAGTCTTGGGTACCTTAGCCTGAATCAAGCTCTACAAGGAATCATCATAGTCTTCACCACCCTTCCACTTGCAGTTAAAAGAAACGCCAGTTTCACTTAGGAATGTAATTGATGAAGCATAAACATATTTTTTAAAACCCTGGCGCTTGACTACATCTTTTTGATATATGGCATGAGGAGATAGGAAGTACTCATAAAGTATTTCTGCGGTATACTGAAGCATGATAGGTTGTCTTGAGGGAAAGGATTTGTATGATTGAGTTGAGTACTGACTAGTAGCCACCTTTTTCATGAGCCATCAATTGTAACTTCTAAGAAGGACTGACAGGCTAGTTATGTACACTTGAGTATTCGGCAGACATTTGCTTGAAAAAGAGCTAAGTAAAAGAACTGGTAGACTTTGTTGCCAGTGACAGAAGTTGAGCTTTCAAATGAAAAGCAGAATTTTGGAAAGTTTGTGTCTCCCTCCATGAATTTGGCAGCTTCCCAGTATTTAAATTTCCTATGAAATCAATGGAGATATTAGCAATTGATTCTTTATATTGTATAATGAAATGTATCAACATGTGAATGGTTTGTACAGCTCAGTGAACCAGTATTTTTTCAAATGACCAATGCATGATGTTACAGAATTATGCAAGGTTAAAAGATCCCTTAAAAGTGCAGAATAGATCAATGGGTTTTCATGTAACAGAGTACAAAGGTCATTGATATAGTTTTAGTTTCCATATTCCTGCTGACCTTTAAAAAACTACCACTTGTAGAGTTTTGGTGTAGTATCACAGAAGAATATCCACATTAACTGAAGAGGCTGTTAAAATACTCCTTTCTTTTCCAAGTACATGTCTGTGTGAGAGCAGATTTTCTTCACATTCTTCAATTAGAGCAACGTGTCACAACAGATTAAATGCAGAAGCAGAAATTAGAATCCAGCTGTCTTCTTTTAAACCAGATGTTAAGGAGCTTTATAAAAATTTAACTTGTGATAGGTGTATTTTAAATGGATAAACACTTTAAAATTCTCAGTTTTAATTTCTAGTATTGTAAATATCAATAGATATACTCACACAAATAAAAGTTTTTTGGGGTCATCAATAATTTTTAAGAGTGCAAAGGGGGCCCGAGACCAAATGTTTGAAAATTGCTAATTTACCACGTGCTGGGCACACTTTGTAGATTATTTGTTGTCAGGATTGTTGTAAGACTTTAACAGAAAATAAAATTGAGGCTCAGAGGTTATAGATGAAGCTGAACCAGGCTTGATTTATTCATCCAACACTTAATGGATGCTAGCTACGTCCCAGGAACTTGTTGGGGTCAAAAAAGAAATCCACAGAAAACCTACAGTGAGAACTTTCTTAATTCTAGAGCATGAAAGCACAAACACATGTCCATTGGGTCTAAATTCAATCTTACTGATGTTTCCTAGCATTTAGCAAAGATCTGAAACCAAGGATTTTGAGCCTATTAAAAACCTGGTTACAAACTTAGCATAGTCCAATATGAAATATAATTGTACTAAAAAATATATATTTTACAGTTTGCAAGATATTTTCATATAGTTCTATTTGTCTCTGAACACAGTGTTGGTGTGGGGGTGGCAGGTAATATTCCTCCTTTTACAAATAAAGAAATGGAGTTCTTGGGAGGGCTAAATTTAAGAGCTTGTCAATAGCAGGTTTAAGACCAAAGAACTCAAGTCTTCTGGGTTCTTGATGTTTCTGTTAACTTTATAATAGAAACTTGAATCAACAGATAAGAGTCACTCTTGTATGCTCCTCTAGAACTTCCCTGAAATCTCTCCCAGCGGTTAACATGCTAACACAGCTTCTCAACTTGTCTTTGCTTCTTGATTGGAAGTTTCTTGAGAGCAGAGACTTCATATTTGTCGTGTCCCAGTGGCCGAGCAGAGAGCCTGATTTTTTTCATAAATGTTGATTAAGTGGGTAAACAGGGGTCACCATTAGACTTGATTTGAAATACAAGTATACATTATTAATTTATGTTTACAATTAGCTACCTACTTTTTTTATGTATATACATCATTGCCCTTCTGAAAAAGGTGACTTTCTAATCTCTTTGTGCTAGCAAGAGTCCTGGAAACCTTTAAGGCTATAGAAACAACTCTTTAATAAATGTTTGAGTATCTGTTTTCAGGGCATTGGGTGAGAAAGTCCTTTTTATTAAGAGTGATGAGGTCTCATTTGTATGTTTGTTTGAAATGGAGCACTTTAGTGAAATGGCAGTTATAATTCAGAGCAGTCTTTCAGTAACATTTCAGAAGTATGAGCTTACAGAAACCTTCAAAATTTTTACTTTTTTCAGTATATGAAGTTGAGAAATCTATCATAATTCTGTAGGAATGTATCATGAACACATTAATTTTTTATTAGACACCTATTTCCCATTTTGTGTCTACTGAGAAAACAATATGAATTTCTAACAGCTTTGTTCAGATTAAATTGGTATACAGTAAACTGCACATATTTAAAGTGTACAATTTGATCTTGACCTGTATATACCATAATCAAGCTTGAACATATCCATCACTGCCAAAATTTTCCTGGGGCTCTTTTGTATCCCTCCCTCTTTCCCTGCCCCCACCCTGTACCTAGGCAAACACTGATCTCATTTATGTAAAATTTTAGAAAATGCAAATTAATATACAGTGCTGGAAAGCATAGTCTGTTTTTATTACTGGCATTATGAAGGAGAAAAACTGTCAAGACTGCCAAAGCACTACAGCTTTTCTATTTGTTGACCTTTTGTGGGTTACCAGTGGCAGCCCATAGTAGGTATACTTTTCATAAATAAACTACCAGGCTTATTTACTAAAATTGTCAGAAAGCAGTGGGAGCCTTTTGATACTCTGCAAAGAAAATAGTAAATGACTGGCTACTTGTATCTCCTCACATCATATTACGTCTCCATCAAATATTCTGATTTCTCTCTTTCCACTTGTAGATTGGGCTTTTCAGTATATTTATGCTTTTCTTGAACTGAATTTTTATTTCTCCATGAAACAAACGTCTAATAGTAATTCTGAAATGAACCTTTCAGCCCACATAGAAATATTATAGGTATTTAAGGTATTAAGGAATCTAAAGGAATTCTTTTGGTGGGGATTAGAGTTCCTAATAAACGGCTTTTGCTTCCTTATCTTCTTATTGCAGTGGTTTTTGATTTTGGTCCTAGGCTTCACCATAATCACTGTGTAGGAGGGTATGAGGATAAAACAATGAGTTGAGTTGAAATTATTTCACTGATCTTAAGATTGAATTTTTTAAATGATGTAGAATTTTTGGATGGTTTTAGTTTATTTGATGTTGCTGCAAGTTTGTTACCCTAATTAATTGAAATCTGTCTTTGCCAAGGATAAAGGTGTTCTCTTGAGAAATGAGTATCATTTTGAAACAAATAAACACAAAACTCAATTATTATTCTTGAGGAGTGTCCGTGTGCTTTCTGGAAGTTTTTCTGAAATTAATGAGCATTATTAAAAATTCAAGGAAATGATTGGATTCTCAAGTTTGATACTGTAATTCACAATATCTAGTTTTCTAAGTATGCGTTAGTCATTCCTAGTTCCTATTCCTCTAGTAATTGAAATACCTATGGAATGCAGAGAAAAAAAGCTATGCTTCCTTGTCCACCATAATTCCAGTAGAGCCGAGCTACATCTATATTTTCAAGCACGTCAACTTTAAGTAGGAGAAAATGCTGAGGAAAACGTAAAAAAGTTTTTATATACTTTTCCTTTTAAATAGATGAAGAGCTTCCTGATTACATTATGGTGATGGTGGCCAACAAGAAAAGTCAGGACCAAATGACAGAGGACCTGTCCCTGTTTCTAGGGAACAACACAATTCGATTCACCGTATGGTATGTTTCTGAATATTTACCCCTCAGACCAAAGTTTGCCACAAGTCAGAGTACATCTTCTGTCTGAAAAGAGGTTCTTGATAGGAGAGTCAGATTCAGTACGGAGAGGCAGATTGTGATGAGAGCACAGCTTCTGGAGCCAGACTGCTGAGATTGAATCCTGGATCTGCCTCTTGCAATGGTGTCTCCATCTGTAAAATGGGAACAGTAAATCACCTTTGTATGATTGTTTGTGAGGATTAAATGAGCTAATACGCGTAATGTGCTTATAGCTGTGACTGGCCCATAGCAAGTCCTTAATCTATGTTAATTGTAGTTATTGTGTTTATTTTGTAAACTTCTGCATCTTATCATTCCTTCTCCCCCACCAAAACCAGTTACAGATGTTTTTTCGACTGGAAGACTTCCTAAATTAGTTTTTCTAATGAGTTAACTCTTAGGGGGCAGGGTTTTTTGACAAAATTTCAAGTCAGGTTTTTACAAATTTGCAACTTTTGGGGCCAGCCTCAGTGGCCTACTGGTTAAGTTTGGCATGTTCCTCTCCAGTGGCCCAGTTTCGGTTCTTAGGCATAGACCTACACCACTTGGCTGTCAGTGGCCGTGCTCTGGTGGTGGCTCACGTACACAAAAGAGGAAGATTGGCAGTACATGTTAGTTCAGGGTGAATCTTCCTCAGCAAAAAAAATAAATAAATAAAACTGGCAACTTTTTGAAGTTTGGAATTTTAAAAGAGGCAACTCTGTGTTCAAATATGAATTACTGTTGTAATTTTCAATGTCCTTTTTCAAACTGCATATGCTTTTAGTTGAGAATACTGACTAAAAGCATAAGATTCAATTTAAGAAAGCAGGCCAAGTTCTGGTACCAGGTTTGAAGTAGAATGAGGACTGGGGGATAGTGATGTGGCTGAGAATAGAGCAGGAAATATTCATATAAGGGGCCTCATACTGGGAACCACCAGCTATAGCACAAGTTGATGATGGAGCAGAAGTTGAATGAGCAGGGGGGCCTGCTTAATTTGAATGACAAGAGACTGCGAGAGGGAATAGGGGGCACTAAGGAGGGATCTGAAGCTGGTTAACTTCTTGCCTTTAAACCAAAGTCTGTCTTGAAGGTGTTTCTGCCCCAGCAGGCAGTTGTTTGCTTTATAACTCTTGTGAGGCTTTCTTGAAATTCCACATAGCATCCGCCAGGTTTATATTACACAATTTTGAAGAACATTGAGTGCAGTGGTCAATCCTCAAATGTTTTGGTGCCTGCACTCCTGCAGTGTGGATGACCTAACCACTTGTTACAGTTTGTCCCCAGAATTTACAAAAAAGAGAGATAGAACATGGTACTTTAGACTGGGGAAATTACTGTTATCATGAGAACTTTTTTTTTTCAAGTCTTCATCAGTCCAGGTATTTGTTTTGTTTCATAGACGTTTTTTATGCTCTAACTTTTGGTTCAATCTTTGGATCGCTTTGGGTTTGAGTCTCTAATATAACATGGAAGATTGATCTAGTAGATCCTTTCTCAGATAACTTGATGGAATACTTCACACAGATTTCTTACATAAACAGACTACTGACTCAATTTGAATTTAAAATCACATTAATTCAACTTTCTCTTCTTGCCATAAATTCAGTTCTTTAACATGTGCTGAAAGTGATGGTGTCTCTGTTTTGCCACTTTGCTTTCCCAAGTGTTCATTGACACCAGCCTCAAACAGACTATTCTGATTCTGTGGAGCTCTGTAATAATTGTGTCCTAGGGTACAGTGGCATGTGACTGGGTTCTGGGTGAAATATTATAATGAGATATTTCTCGTGTTTTCAGGAGGCCTGGCTTCTTGGAAGGATTGTAAGGCAAATTTGCTTTGTACATAACTACTAACATAGGTTATATTATAAGCAAGGTTGTGGCCCGTGCTTGTTTACCACATTAGTTTTGTAAATAACATAGTGAAGTGACACAGTATATTTTGAGATTATTTTTAAGTTTCTTTTATTTCTCAGAGTTAAGTTCCAGAAACCATAAAAATAAAGTAGATTTAAACTGTGCTTAAACGATTGTAATAATGAGCTGTATTACGTTTGTGATATTTTATTTTCTTTTACCATAAGCTACATTGAGTCTTTAGTCCTTATGAAACAAAATGACATTCTTTGTAGATCAAGACTCTGTGATCAGATGATATCCCTGCCCTTATTGTTGCAGAGGCTAAATGTTGAAAATAGTGATGAAAAAATCGTATTTTTAATTGGCTTCTGCAGTATTCATGTAAAGCCTTTTTTAAAATGTGAAGCTTTAAGTTTATTCTAATACTGTTTATGCACTAAATACCGTTTATTACCGTTTATCTGAAGATTGATTCTATGATGTCATCAAGTTTAGAGTGACACTTGAAATGAAATGTTTCTTGCCTGAAGGAAGCTTTAATTTTTTTTTTCTTTTAGGCTTCATGGTGTATTAGATAAACTTCGCTCTGTTACAACTGGTAAGATTCATAAAAGTGGGTTTTTTGGAATTTGTTATAGCATGTGGTTGTATTATTTCTAAAGTGATATATACTTCTTTGGGGAAAAAAACCTATAAATTTGAAAACAGTTCACTGGAACTTTTTTAGGAAGCACATATTTTTATGAATTTAAGAGCAATAAATTTAATATAACTGAAAGATAATTTTAAGGGAAGGGGAACTATACATTTTATCCTAAGGAAATAATTATAGGTGGGTGCCATGATTTAGCCATGATTTATGATTGAAAATTACTTAAAAATTCAATAATAGTAAAGTGAATAAATGATTATATTACTATGTATGGAATAATATCCGGCCATTAAAAATGTTGTGGAACAAAATGTATTGGTTTTAAGTTGGTGATGAGGACAGAGAAGGTTCAAAGTAATAAAAATAGCTTACAAGAACCATGTATTCTCCTTTCCAGATCCTTCCAGTCTAAAGTCTTCTGATACCAACATCTTTGATAATAACGTGCCTTCAAACAAGAGCAATTTCAGTCGGGGAGATGAGAGAAGGCACGAAGCTGCAGTGCCACCCCTTGCAGTTTCTAGCACTAGACCTGAAAAAAGAGATTCTAGAGTTTCTACAAGTTCTCAGGAGCAGAAAACCACTAGTGTTAGGTAAGAGTCCTGGGTAGACATGCTGTAGACAGGTGGGTATGTGTGTGTGACATTTACTTTAGTTTTTATATCTTTAAATTACTGTTTTCAGAAACTGCTGGAGGCAGGGAGGTGGTCATGAGCAATTTTTTTTAAATAACTTTTGGTCTTATCCTTTCATTATTTTATTTTTTAACTCAAACGTAATAAGTCAAAATTTAAAAAAAGAATGCAATTTCAAAGTAGTTTTTAATGGAATACGTAAAGGGAGTATCCAAACTTACTCATTAAAATTTAAGTAAATATTCTTCGAAGTTTTAAAGATACTGCTCTAACTTGGTTGTAATACTTTGTGTGTACGTGTGTTTTTTAAAAAATAGACAGACTTATGATGATGGAGCTGCAACCCGACTAATGTCAACAGTGAAACCTCTGAGGGAGCCAGCACCCTCTGAAGATGTGATTGATATTAAGCCAGAACCAGATGATCTCATTGATGAAGATCTCAACTTTGTGCAGGAGAATCCCTTATCTCAGAAAAAACCTACAGTGACACTTACATATGGTTCTTCTCGCCCTTCTATTGAAATTTATCGACCACCTGCAAGTCGAAATGCAGATAGTGGTGCTCATTTAAACAGGTTACAGTTTCAACAGCAGCAAAACAGTATTCGTGCTGTCAAGCAACTCGATATGCAGAACAGCCGGGTGTATGAAACAGGACGTTTGTGTGAACCAGAAGTGCTGAACAGCTTAGAAGAGACTTATAGTCCCTTCTTCAGAAACAACGCCGAAAAAATGAGTATTGAGGTTTGTATATACTTAGAAATTCTGGCTTGTTAGGCTGAAAGTTGGCAGTTCTTAATACTAAATGGTATGTGAAATAAGTAAATGTGTTTTGTAAGTTTATTTTAAACTGATTTTTTACTACTCAACATATTATCACCAGTCAGATTTTCCTCTTCGCAACTGGCTAGTATAGATGTTTTGCATCTTCTTTACTTTCCTGGGATGCCCACATTTGAGATAGCTTTAAGTTTACCTTATAATTTTGAGGGGATTTTAGGTCAACTTTAGATTTTTCATGGCTATTACTAGTAAACAACCAAGTAACTCCATTTTATTAGTTTCCTTAACAGTGCTGTATGCTGCTGTTTAAAATAAATATTAAAGCACTAGTTTTTATTTTAGCTAAAGCTTGGCTATTGGGGATAATATTTATATTTTTAAAAGAAACCAGGAAATAGCCCATAATTCTTAATATGATTGGCTTTTTCTTAAGAAGAAGAAAATATTCCATGGTAGAACTTTGTTGCTTTCTGAGACTAGGTAAGCATACATTTATCTGATTTCAGGAAGAAAACTTTCGGAAGAGAAAGTTGCCTGTGGTAAGTTCAGTTGTTAAAGTAAAAAAATTCAATCATGATGGAGAAGAGGAGGAGGAAGATGATGATTGTGGGTCCCGTACAGGAAGCATCTCCAGCAGTGTGTCAGTGCCAGCAAAGCCTGAAAGGAGGTACCTTTACATGTCTGTAAATTAATCTTTAATTGCCTAATGGAGTCTTCTGGGTGTCTTGAAGAGGATGTCATGAAAATAAAAATGTAGTAACATGTAAGGCTTTTCCATTGGTTTTTGAGAAACACTTATATTGATGAAAGAAAAATTGCTTAAAATTGGAGAATATTGTAGAGAATATTAAAATGTGTAATATGAGAGTGGGGGAGTTGATCCAGATTCATTATTTTAAAAAGTTATAAGGGTCCAATCTAGTGGGCATTTCCTAAACACTGCAGCTGGCGTATTCCAAACCTAAGAGAAGGCTGCAGTAAAAACGATAATAGATGGCTAGCATGTAAAGAACTGAAATCTAAAATTTAATCAAAATACCTTTCTTAACTTCTTTAGACCTTCACTTCCACCTTCTAAACAAGCTAACAAGAATCTAATTTTGAAGGCTATTTCTGAAGCTCAAGAATCTGTTACAAAAACAACTAACTATTCTACAGGTAACTTAAATGTATTATGTTTACTTTAAGTAAGATTTCTGTAACTCTTGTGTAAGCTAGAAATGATGCTCCCCAGGTTGTGGTAAAATAAAGGCGTCTGCTAGATGTCAAGACTAACATGAGGTTTGGAGAAGAATGGTTTTAAAAGGAGATTTGACCAGTTGGAGAAACTTTCAGTGGAATTTAGATGCCGCCTCAGCATGGCCTGATGAGTAGTGCCATGTCCACACCCAGGATCTGAACCAGCGAAACCCAGGCCACTGAAGCAGGGCGCGTGAACTTAACCACTCAGCCATGGGGCCAGCCCCTGGAATTTAGCTCTTTGAGCAACTGTAATGCCTTTTACTCCTTCTTTCCAATGTGTGTGAAACATATAATAAATAGAAATTTTAAAGGGAGTTTTGATAAAGATGGGACTTTCATATTTGTAGCATTAGAGTCACTATTGGCTGTGAATTTATGACGTATAAAAAGCAAAATTGGATAACACTGAGAGGCTGAACTTAGCAAAATTTGTCTAGTATATGAACAGGTTGGTTTCTTTCCTTTCAGTAGAACCCATAAATAGAATATAAGGTGGAGAATTGACTTACTTGTGAAGTTCCTGCCCCAGTCCTAGTGGAAGTACTAAATCATTTTGAGAGAATATAGAAGTATTACGTATTTTTAAAAAAAAGGAGATGATGAGTCAGCTATAATTTGATCTTACAGAAGGCTCATGCTGAAATGCAAACCAAATGGTGGTGCCATATTGCCGTTAAATTCTGTACACTGTGCCACACATGCTATAGCCAGTGTGTAAAAGTTTCTGTTAATAAGCTAATAACCCACTCTAAAAATTTCTGTTTTTACTTTTGATGGATTTGATGACCATTCTTTTAGCATTGTTCTGCTTTTCCATTCTCTTTTAGTGACCCCTTCCTAAAGTGAAGTAAACTAAGCTATCAACTTTTAATCCTGATAGTCATCTGTCCCCTTGCCTCTCTTCATCCCTAATTTAACCTTGAACATAAAATTCAACAGGTTTTGGCATACACGATAAAGATTATCAGGCAAATGCCAACACTTGACCTAATGATTCATCTGTTTACCTTCCCTCTTTTCGTCTTGTCAGCAATATTTAGTGTTGAGAATGCTGAGACTTTTAGAGAATTTTACTCACTGTGACCTTTAAATTTTCTGTTCTTATAATAGTTGGAGATTTTGCAAGTTTTTTGAGCAGTAGCATTGAAACTAAAGTTACCTAGGTTATCTAAATTACAGTTTGAAATTGTTACAGGATAATGAAGCAGAACCTAAACTGCATTTGGTTAAAAATGGATGCGTATGTGCTGCAGTGTTTTTATGGCGTGTGGTTTAAAATGTATAGCTGCTGTTTACATACATAGGAGTATCTAAGTCAGGTACCTATCTCTTGGGAATATTGTAAGAAAGAGTGAGGTGATATCTATGAACTGTTTCAAACTCCTCGTGTTCTAACCCCACGCAGGCATTTATGTTTAATAGAACATATTCACTGTTGAGTTTTGATATATTACTGTATTTGCTTTTCCGGTTTTTTTTTGCATTTTATGTAAAAGTCTCACAGAAACAGACACTTCCAGTTGCTCCCAGAACTCGAACTTCTCAAGAAGAATTGCTAGCAGAAATGGTTCAGGGGCAAAGCAAAACTCCCAGAATAAGCCCCCCCGTTAAAGAAGAGGAAATAAAGGGAGATAACATAGAAAAAAGTCAAGGTAATAATTTAAATCATATTTCATTCTCACTTTTTTCATGAGGCATTAAATATTTTGTAATGGGTGTTTATGAAATGTTAGGTGTTTATGAAATGTTAGTTATACTATGAGAAAAGTGCTCTTTAGGTCCAAAAATAGAATGAGAAGGTAACGTGAGGAAAGTCTATACTTAGATTTCGCAGAACTTTAAAAATCTTTTTATTACGGAAATTTTTAGTGTTCTCAAAAGTGGCAAGAACAGTGCGATGAATTCCCGTAAACTCAGTCACCCAGCCTTAATAATTATTAGTATTTTGCTGGTCTTTAGAAAGCTCCTACCTAAAGGTACACAGATATCTACGTTTTTCCTTTTCTTTTTGTTAATCTTACCCCTATTCTCTTGAACTTGAAATCATATCTTTAAGTCTCCCTTCTCTTCCCATCCTGTCTCTGTCACTTGCCAGATCTGCCTTACTGTCCCGGTGGCCCTACTTTATCCCCTGTGCCTAACATACTACAGTTAGCTTCCAGCTGATTTTTCTGCTTCCTTTCTCTCAGCCCCCCACCCCCAACTCCTACGCAGACACTCTTCTGTCTAAAGTGTGACTTTGCTCATGTGACTCCTCTGTGAGAGCATTTATAGTGTTCCCCCTGCCTTTGCCTTCAGAACTGATGCCATCAGCCTGGCCTTTAGGCAGCTTCATTATCTGGCCCCTGGGCCTGCCCAGCCTTTCTCCACTGTTCTCCCACCTGATTATTCTGTTCCCATCAGGAAAGATTCTAGTTTCTTCTTTTTTTCTTCTACTAAGACCTTAATTGAAAAACCCCACCAAAACTGTATGCTTATCATGTTATTTCTAACATACTTTTCTAACACTGGAATACATTTTTTCATTCCTCCTCAGCTGTGTCCTTTAAATTGTTTCAGGTTCATCTCACGTTTGCTTATTTCATGACACATTATGATTCCATCCTGTATTTGTCTCTTCTCTTTTTTTTAAAAAAAAAATCTTTGACTGTAATGTGCAATTTGCCACGTCAGCATTATGTGCAATTCCAAGAAATGATGGGCCCAGGAACAGGAAAACCCCAAAACAGCCAGAAGGTACTAACTAGAAAGTGTAGGTGGGCCAGTTTGTGAAGAGCAACTGGAAAGTGGGATTTGAGCTTCAGTAAGGGTATAAGAATTGCAGTGGATTTAAGGCCATTAAACGGGTTTAAACCTATGATTTCGTAATGATATTTTTAAAATGTAAACCCTTAGTTGGTCACCTGGAGGATAATAGATACTAACTCATTATCTTGAAAACCAGATAAAGTAATTGAGCTTTTAGCTGTCTTTCCTCTAAGAATGGTACCACTGGGTAACCAAGTGTAATAGGAGGAGTTAGCACTTATTTTTGTAAATAAAGATTTATCGGAACCATGCCATGCCCATTCACTTGTGTATTGTCTGAGGCTGCTTTTATACTACAACCACAGAGTTGAATAGTTGAAATAGACCAAATAGCCCAGACAACCTAAAATACAAAACATGTGTCAACACTTGATATAGTAGATGAGGGAAATTCTTAAAATTTTTGTAGCTAATAAGTGAACACAAAATGATAGAATTATAGTTCTTTATTTTATTTTATTTTCTTGCAACTCACAGTCAATTAATGAATCTAAGCCCTGGTCATTAGTGGCTACTAAACCATTTGTTTTTAAGTGAAAACCAGCTGTTTTGTGCTTCCTGATGAAAGAATGAAGCACTACCTTAGTCTTGCCAGAGGATTTGAACCTGCATGATCAAGCCTTCAGTCTAGCGTTCAGCTTGCAGGAAGTGCAGAGGTCAGAGGAATATGTTGGTTGCTGCACCGTGAGCTTGCAGTAGACAAAGTACCATCTCTGGGACACTATATAGTTCAGACAGCAAGAGAATTCTAGATTAAAAGACTTAAAAGAGAAATTAAAATAAAAGGGTCCAGGTTAAGCTGTAGTGTCTAGGGAAGCACACTTGTGTGATAAAACCACAAAGAAACTCTAGGTATTACTATAAAAGGCATATTCATACTAGTGATTACTTTTGAAGAGGACTGATTAGGATGGAGCACATGGAGAGATTTCTGGGGTGGATGACACAATTCTGTTTTCTTGACCTGGATGGTGATTATAAAGGTGTTTTGCCCTATCAAAATTCAGTAAGCTATTGTTTTGTGTGGTTTTTTTTAATCATTGTTTTAAAATAAAAGGTTAAAAAATTTAAATGGCATTAAGTACCTCTTTTGATGAGGACTTTTACTGGTTTCATTGGTTCACAAGTGCAAAGTGACACTCTGCAAACAGCTATTCATTAATGTGCTTACTCAGTGTTTCATAGTTTTCTCTGACAAGTTTTTAAAAATCTAAATGTGTACATGTATTGGCCTGAGTTGTTGATAGTGTTCTTTCATCTCTTTTGCCTCTATTTTTACTAGCTTGCTCACCTCACAATATTTGTGCTTTTTCTCTTTTTGTCTTGGATTAATCTGTCACGAGAAATTTATTTTGCCAGTCTTTTCAGAGACTTAGCACAGCAACAGTAATCTGGCTTTATTGATTCTCTTTTGGTGTCTTTTTTTTCTTTCATGGATTTCTGCTCTTATTTTTACTATATTGGTCTGTATTTTTTCTTATTAATTTATCTTAGCCTGTCTTCTTAAGCTGTAAATTTCTCTTGATGTGTTGTTTTTGCTGCATATCACAAATTTTGATACATAATGTTTTCATTATTACTCTATCTTTAATTCCCATTACGATCTTCATCTTTGATCCGTGAGTTCCTTGGAAATGTTTTTAAGTATATGGAAGTTTTATTTATTTTTTTGTCTTACAATCTTTTTTGTTATATATGTTTGACTTAATTGCATTGTAGTCAGATAATGTGATCTGTATAATATTCTTTGAAAATTAAGACTTAATTTTGTACATCTTTCATGTGCATTTTGGAAGAAAGTGAACTCTAATTGTTGGATTGAGAATTCTGCATTTAGTAGATAAAGCTCTAAATTTATGTTGTTCAAATCTTGACCTTGCTAATTTTTGGTTGGCTTGACTTATCAATAATTGAGAGAAGGTCTTGAGATCGCCCATCAGGATGACAAATTTATTTTAATTTCTCTATACCTCTATCAGTTTTTGCTTCGTTTATTTTGAGGCTCTTAAACTAGGGTGCATATATAGTTAAAATTGTTAGATTTTCCTCAGGGAATTGAACCTTTTATCTTTATGTATAACCCTCTCTACCAAATGATGTTTTTATCTTAAAGTCAGTTTTGTCTGATAGTGATATAGCCATTTAGTTAGTATTTGGCCCATATATCTGTTTTCCATGCCTTCGTTTTCACTTTTCTTTTGTTATGCTTTAGGCATGTATATCTTTTAAATAAAAAGCTAGATTGTGTTTTAATCCAATCTGAGTTTGCCTTTTATTGGAAAGTTTAAACCATTCACATTTATTATAATTATTGATGTAATTAGATTAGTTTCTGTCATCTTTTTTGGTTTGTATTTGCCTGCTTTTGATCTTTCTCCTCTTTTCCCTTTTTTAAGATTCATTAATTACTATTGCTACTGTTGCTCTACATTTTTTTTGCTAGTTTAAATTTAAACACTCCATTTCTGTTCTTTAGTGGTTACCCCTGAAATTTTACCATGCAGATTTAATTAAATATTCCGAAAGTTAATATTGTGACCCCATTCCCAAAGGGAAAATGGACTTTAGAATACCTTAGCTCCAGTCTTTACCCTCCTGACATATGTTGTTTCATTTTGGCCCTTTTAAAAATGCATAATTTGGGTACCACTGTTATTATTTTACCATATAAAATGGTACTGTTTATTCAGATTTACCAACATGTTTATTATTTTTTATTCTCACATCTCTTGAATGTTATTTGGGGATCATCATTTTCTAATATTTTGAAGTAGTTTTGAAGTATGTTCGTTGGAAGTTTCTTTAGAATAGGTATGTTGGTGGTAAATTTCCCAAAAGTCTGTTTACCTGTAAGCCTTTTTATTTCTCCTTGTTATTGTGCAGTAGTTTTGCTGGATACCCAGGTCTAGGTTAACAACAGTTATTTGCATTGTATTATTCCATTGTCTTCTGGCTTCCATTGTTGTTGAGTCGACTTCTATCATTCTAATTATCTGTCGTTCCTTTGTAGGTGATCTGTCCTTTCTCTGGCTGCTTTCAAGATCTTCTCTTTGTCTTTGATGTTCTGCAGTTTCACTACGATGTATCTAGGCCTGGATTTCCTTTTATTTTTCCTATTTGGTATATGTTGCATAAAAATATATATACTTAAAATATTTTACATTATGAAATATATGCTCACCTTAGAAAATTTGGAAAAATAAAATTGTAATATCTGGTGATAGATTAGAAAATAACCCAATAGTATATAGAAAAATTTAAAATAAAGAGTAACATTCCCTGCTCATTCTTCTTCACGCTTTTTTTCCCCAGAGGCCACCACTTTTAAATGCTTCCATTTATGACTTTCTTTAATTTTCTCCATGTCTGTAATAATGTGCTTATACCACTGTTTAATTCACCAAGTATAGATGGTATCTTTTGATTTTTGCTACAAAATGTCAGAATCTCCCACGTTTCCCTGCCTCCAAGCCTATATAGTAAAATCACTATTTTTAGTTCATTTATTAGTTAATTTTGTAATTTTAAGTAGTACACTAAATATCTGTTTCTTGTCTGATTAACTATATTTCAATGTATTTTAACTCTTCAATTTCAATGTATTTTGACTTCCAAAAGATAAAAGATGTTTATGTCCTTTAATTCTTGTATATCTTTTCTCACTCTCACCTTCTACACTTTGTCATCTCTACTTTTATATTGTCAAAGATGAGCAAATTTACCTTTTGTTCTGTTTTCCTAGTTAAAACTACCATGCTTTGGAGGTTGACTCTAAAAGTTGAGAACCAATAAGCAGTGTTTACATTATTAAGACTATATGAATATTATAGGGCCAAATTTACGT